GCTATGTGCCCAACGCCGCTATCGATTATGCCAACGACCTACAGTCTCAGCGCAATGAGGGTAAGAACATTGCGGCCTTTGCCAAGATTGCTGCGCGCGACTGGTGCTTCTTCGTTCAGGACACGCAAGTTAGAATTGGTCGTGTAGACTCGAGAGAACGCAACAACCAGCAGGGCTCCCAGCCTGATATCGCTGGACTGCCTACCAGCGAGCCTCATCGCCAGGACTGGGGCGTGCACATAGATCTTGGCCCTGAGCGCCAGATTTCCCGCGTCCACGCCGAGATCAACTTCGAGATTGATGATCAGCAGTGGTACATCACTGTCAACAGCCGTAACGGCCTCAAGCTGGACGATCGCCATCTGACCAGAGGAGACAAGGCGCCTCTGCACTCGGGTATCTGCATCAGCATCATGAGCACACAGATGTTGTTCCTGCTTGCCAATCAAGAAGACCACTTCCATCCCATGTTGTGGCGTCAAGTCAAGAGCGAGGATGCTGCTGAGTCTGACAACGATGGCAACCCGCCGCCCAAGTCGCATCAGCATGCCCATCCTAGCGGACCTACACCCAAGCGTGATCATTACGACCCGTTTCCACCGTCTTCACACCCCCGCAACAAGCACCAATCTTCACAAGCATACTACAACCAAATGACATCCACACCAGGCTACCCACAACCTGGCACGCCGATGACTTTCCGGGGCGAGAAAGACCCACGCGCCAAGGGCTCTCCTGCTACCTTCTCTCGCGCAGTTGTGTTGGAGACTGGAGACAACACCGACTATAGTTTGGACGCCAATAAAGATGTCAAGCCGCCCCACAGCTATGCCCAGCTCATCGGTCAAGCAATCCTTAGCAGCGAGGAAGAGATGCTCACACTTGCAAACATATACGACTACATCAAAGCTCGGTATGCCTTCTTCCGGTACACAAACAGTGGCTGGCAGAACAGCATCCGGCACAACTTGTCTCTCAACAAGTCGTTCGCCAAGGTTGCACGCCGTACCGATGAGCCTGGCAAGGGCATGAAATGGAAGATCGCGGATTCCGAAAAGGAAGAGTTCATCAAGAAGCAGCTGCTGAATCCTCGTAAGGGAGGTGGAGTTCAGATCGGATACCGCATAGAAGGCTCCGGGCCTAGTTCGCCCGCGCTAGGAAATCCGTCTCAGGCCACCGAGCGCCTCGTTGGTGCTCTGGAGTGTGATACTCGCAGTGGTCAATACTCTGCCCGTGTCAAGTCACCTCCACGATCTGCTACGCCTCCGCTATCGTCCGTTCCAATGGCAAACGAATCATACACTCCGGATCGCGGCCCACGTCCGTTTGGAGGCTTCAAACAATCACCGACCATACGCGACCAGGATCGCTTCGTTACTCCAGCGAAGCGCCTCATGTATGGTGCCAACGAAAGCCAAAGCCTTCCCCATATCAAGCAGGATGATCGCAACTTGGAATCCTCACCTGGTGTAGACCCTGTCAAACAAAGCGTCCCAGGTATGAAGACTGACGTGGGAAACTCACCGCCGACTTTGTACTCGGATGCCGGATCGCATCATATGAGCGGTGGTTACGATGCCGGTCGAATGAACAACGCACTTGTAACGCCACTTGTCTCTCGCCATGCGCCTCGTCTCGCACCTCCCAGTACTGCCCAGATGCCTAGCCAGTACATGGCATTCTCCAGCCCTGCACCTTTCTGGAAGTTCGTCGACCTCCCCAGCACACCCGCCAAAGCACCCCTTGAGTTGAGTCCTATCAAGCTACAGCGTCCAGACTTTAAGGATGGTGATGACGAGGACCATCCAAGTTCACCGCCCATGCTGCCAGACAATAGCGCAGAGCCTGAAGATGAGGAAGACCGAGACCAAGACGGTGATGATAAAGCCGATGAAGATGAGGATGTTGGTCCAGAAAGTCCAAGCCGTACTGTCTCTCGACCTGTTAGTCGCCGGGATCTTGGAAGTCAGCATCAACGCTCGCGGTCGAACAGTAATGTCAACGGACTTGGATTGGGTATTGTCGGCAATGGAGGAATGGTACGTGGTGCTAGCTTGACAAGCTTCGAGGAAGAAGCCGAGCCTGAAGAGGAGAGCTACGATCTTTCAAAGTAAGTCACAGTGTCGTCTCCATTGTGGGTAGAACTCGGTATACTAACAAACAGCAGGGGTTTCCAGAAAATTGGCTCCTTCCACCGCAGCATGGCACAAGCCCACGGCCTCGGCAGCATCGGTAGTCGGGCTACGGCTACACCGCCTCCTCATCTGAGTCGCACAAGTGTTCCTGCGAACATGTAGAATTTATCAACGGAGCCTACGAGGAGGTCTAAGCACTCCTGTGTTGCGCTGTGGTACAAAATCCACGCTTGCGATCACTGATGTTATGCGGGTATATCTTACTCCAGGAGTTTCCATGTCAGCCAACATTTCCAGGTCGCCAGGCTCGAGTCCTCATGGTTTCCAGGACAATGCTTACTACGAAAAAGGAACGTTGATCATGGATGGTTTTACGACGATTCTCTCATTCTGCTGTTGAGTTCAGGTGTTTGCGATGGTGTACCTATCAGCATGGAGTTCCAGGGTTGTTGTTTTATTCGCTGTATTATTTTTCCGTCGCACGGGTATCATGTCGATCGGTCGATTCACTCCGCTATGGCGTTTATGGGTCGTAGCATTGACTGGATATGGGAAGCGTTATGATGATGATTGCCCGGTCGGTCTTTTCAGTTTTGCATCGTTCAGAGGATGGATAGCATGTGGTATTCAGATGGCAGAGGTGGGGGAATCATGAGTACATCAGATAGTACTAGGGAAATGAAAGCATATTTGTAACTTTGGTGCGACTTGGTTCTGATGTGTATCTGGATGTGTATTTGAGGATGAAGAGACGGTCAAATGTGATCACACTCAGACGCGCGTTTCTCAATCACTAGCAAGATGTGCACAACCGTGTATCGACACGAAGGATAGCTTAATCTCTTCTCATTGTCATTCTTCCAGTTACCCATGCAAATATATATGCTACGGTATCCCTATCTCCCCTCTTCTCAGCCCTCCGTATTCCTTCAGACCATAACGTGGTCTGGTCTAGTTAATCTCCTTGTGCGGGAACCACTTGCTCGGCTTGAGGTTCTTCTCCTCAAGCGGCGCATCCAAGACACCCAATCGCCTTATCTCGCCCGCTGAAGGTGCGTCGTCGCGTTTTATGTTGGCTTCGGCCTTGCGGTACGCGGCCTGGAGGGCGAGGGTACGGGCGGCCTGGATGGGTTGTGAGTCGGCGTAATTCACGACTGGGTGAATGGTAGCGAGAATGGGTAAGGGACGGGTAAAGAAGGAGTGGGAGGATGGGGGCTGGTATGAGTTTGATAGATAGGGTATGTACGCACCTCCTTCTTGTGGTGAAGGCACTCGTAGTAGTCCTCAAGGACGGGCGCGCATTTTGCTTTGCCCGAATCGTCCTCGGCGTTTGTGTTGGTGGTGTAGCATGCTAGGACTTCTTGCCAGAAGGGGAAGCAGCGGGATGGGCCTGGAGCGATGTGTTAGCACTGGGCCAGGTTTTGGTGTCTGAGGTCTGTGGTCAGAGAGCTTTGAAGGGCTGAGGCGGCGCGTGTGAGAGGGTCGGCGGAAGCGGGGAAACGGAGCGGGCAAGCGGATGGCTCTGGCAACGTGAGAAGCGGACAGGCGTTTCGAGATATGTTGTCGCGCCTTTGAAATCGAGAGACCCTCTCCGGGCTGTCGATGGTGTATTTTGTCGTGTTCGCGCGCTTTGGTCTCGCCGTAGGAGCAGCGCTGTCTTCGTATGGCTGCGGCTTGCCTACGACCAAACGCTGCTGCCGGATCTAATCCCACCTGTTCTTCCATGTATGTTTAACGGGCTCGTGTATTCCGCGTGTGTGATTGCGTCGTGTGGTCGTCGTTGTTGCTCTTCGCATTTGTTCAAGATTCGCTCTTCGTGATGCCATTGCGCTCGCTCGGGTGCGTCCGCCCCCTTTCAAAGCTCCAAATAATGACCCCCAGAAAGCGAAGTGTACGTACCACCAGCAAGTCCGTATCCTGAAGCCATTGTCGCGATGTTTAAGTGGGGGTCTCAAGTCGCGATGTGCAGCTGCTGTGAACTCGGCCAGCTTTGGTTACGTCAGCAGCGCACGGCCCCTTGTTTGCAATCCATCTAATGCTGTTGGTGAGCCACGCCGTGCACACTTGACAGCTTGGTACGAGTATGCCAACTCTTGTCTCAGCAAGCACCACATATATCAATGGCTCTTGCGCACCAATGTTCTTGCCAGAGCTCTCGCAGAGGACCATGACGAATCACTGCAGCGCTGCAAGGCGTTCACAATGCTGTTGGAGTACTTTTCTCGTATCACGTTCATGATACGCTGCAGGCATGCAGGCTTACTTCCGCTAATCGTTACATGTTCATTGCATGCATAGAACCGCACCACAGCCACACATCCTAGCTGCATGCGTCATGTGCTCTTTTCCAGACAACCCTACCAGGCTGCAACCTTTCATTCATGTTCTTCAATCTGATGCGGAGGCACTTCCTCAAACCTCGGTTGCATCGCGATAAAGACCAGTACTCTTGGCCGAATTCTCTTGTACGCTGACTATTTTATCCGATTTCGAAACCTTATTACCAACACAAGTGTATCCTTCCAAGATATGTCTGCTAGAAAAGGCTACTGTGCTGGCTGTGGAACACTACTAGTGGACAAAACCATGAAAGGAGATTTAACGGGGATTCCTTTTACTGTCGTCTATCCCGAACAGACGCGTAATGTGAGAAGCAAGAAGAATTTTGCGAAAGTGGTAGCAGGGTCGAACCATGGTTGTCGCAATTGTACTGTGGTTCTAGATGCTTTGTCTTCTATTTTTAAGAGCAAGGAGCGAGAGACGTTCGAATTCGCGGTAGGGACTCAAGGACAGACTGGGACTTTAATGATTGAATGTAGTCTTGACATAGACTTCAGCGAAGGTCGACACGTTGACCCTACTCACATGGAAGTCTTTCGGCAAACTGGTATGTCAGGCTGAGTTGAATGCCCGTTCGACCTGATAAAGTGAATAGACCAACCGCAAAGGTCTGAATCCTGCAACTCTGTTACCTGGGACCTCGAACAATACCGCGCACTATCGGGAAATACATCCTCACACGCAACTCTTGGTCTGATTGCAAGTTGGGCAACTCATTGTGTGGAACACCACGAGCATTGTCCACAACGATTAGTCAGTCGATTGCCTAAGAGGGTCCTCGAGATCACGGCTGATCACGTATCTCTCAAAGAGAAACCCAATACTCCAGCTACCTATGTTTGTCTGAGTCACTGTTGGGGTCCAGATGGCCCGGCTATCAGACTGACTGCTGATACTGTGGAGCTTCTCCATAAAGGCTACGTCACATCCGATCTGCCCAAAACATTTCGAGATGCTGTCGATGTTTGCAAGCGTCTTGGGATTTGCTACCTTTGGATCGATGCACTATGTGAGTTCATATGCAGAAATGGAAGTCTGGAGAAAGATGTGGCTAATAGGTTTAGGTATCTTCCAGGACAGCCAGGAAGACTGGAAAGAAGCAGCTGCCACGATGGCAGGCATCTATGAGCATGCATATATTACCATCGCAGCCACCTTTGCTCCAGACAGCAATGGCGGTCTGTTCTCTTCTGTTCGACCTCTCGCGACACGCCTGGACAAGCATCCCCACCTGTATATTCGAGAGTGCCTGCCAACTTTTCCCGATGACTTTTATACGAGAGATCTAAAATCATGGCCGCTTCTGACCCGCGCCTGGGTGTATCAAGAGCGAAGGCTCTCGCCCCGCACCGTGCACTTTTGCAAGCATCAAGTGTACTGGGAATGCCAGACCAACTTTGACTCCGAGGATGCTAGCGAATATAAGGTGTGGATAACAGACGCTGATGATGTTGATAGAGATCTCGGATGGGGTGATAAGGTCGTGGATAGTACAAGACAATGGCAAAAGATCGTGTCGGAGTACACCAAGCTCGAACTGACTTATGATAGCGATCGTCTACCAGCTATCGCGGCTCTGGCGAATCGAATGTCACGGCTGCGACGAGCAGATGATGTCTACATCGCGGGAATGTGGAGGAACAGCATACTTTCGGACTTGTTGTGGGAGTCGAGACCTTTCGAAATCGGGGAATGGGGGCGGCCTGTCGAACCGCGCTCTGTGCGACTGGTCCCCTCTTGGTCTTGGGCATCAGTTCGAAACGCAAATATCTCTTGGCGTGGGTGCGCATTTCCAGACACGACTCAGATCGTTAGCCTTGATTATACTGCGATAGGTGCTGCTCACCTTGGCGAAGTCATCAACACCAGCATTGTTTTAAGGACAAATGTCCTTGACCTGACTGGCGTGGTAATTTCGGATTCACACCGGCCAAGTGATTCCATCCACGAATTTCTCAGATCTACTCCGCGCATGGATTCTTTCCGGCGTAACAATGACGCAAGTATTCATTGTACTTTTCACCAAGATTACAATTTGGCCACCGCCGACCCTCTGTATATGCGTGGACACGATCCGAAGCTTCTTATCTCGAAGGCGACCCGTGATTCCCTAGGCGGAGTGGTTGTTCGACAAATCACTGAGAAGCCCGTACAGTATGAGAGAATTGGCTTCCTTCATATTTTCACCTTTAGTCTAAAATTTAGTATCAGTGGACCTGACGAAATCGGGTGGAACTCTAATGGCGAAGCTCAAAGACGAGTTGACGAATTAATACGGTCATTGCCTGTGGAAGAGGTGATGATCATCTGAAGTCTATATCGCCAATCACGAAGCGATAGCGGAGCCATCGTGGTGCTAGTCACGTACAACATACGACAATCGCGAGCAAATGATCAAAGAGTTCTAGTTTCATGAAGACCACAGAAATAGATACAATAATCCACTTTCGTTCTAGCTATCTAGTCTGGATACTACATAGACCCGCAAACTAAGATGCTGACACATGAACCTTTTCCATATCCTCCAGGTTCAGTCATAAGAAACCCGAAGGATATGAGCCTGAACATATCCTCTAGTTTAGATATCAGGATCCGCGCCTACATAATGGGTACATTGATACCTCGGACACGACGAAGGTATCCAGCCTCATCTGCTTTCCATTTCTTCTTACCCGGCTCCGCCATCTTAGCCTTGACTCGCGCTGCCAACTCGGCATCCTTCTTCTTCTGCTCATCCCACTTGGCCTGCTGAGTTGCTGCCCTCTCCTCCAACTGCTTCTGGCGCTGCTGATAGATCAGTCTAGCAGACTCTTCCCGAAGCTTTGCCTTCGCCTCAAGCCAATTCTTCTTGTCAACGTAGGTTTGGTGCTTCTGCATCTTCTTCTTGGCCTCTTCCACCGCGACACCGAAGCGCTCATTGGTCTTCAAGTACACCCGGTAGTCATACGGATCTGGAATCTGGCCCTCAAAGTCTAATCTCGCGATGGCATTAACGACTTTCCGGAAGATGCTATCGCCGACTGGGGTTTGGACGGCAGAAATGGCATCGATATCGGCGTAATCTGGGAGGGAACCGGAGCTGATACGTGCCCAGTACCAGTTGAAGAGATGCTGGGTGTAGACATGCATTCCGAGAAAATCTGCAGCGCTACACATTTGAAGATCCCAGTACGTCGACTGGTAGGGGTGCAAGTCCCTGGCGAACTTGTTCCACGTAGTCAGGTCTATGAAGTGCTTGATCAAATCCTTCACTGGTTGGACTTCAAGATTCGTGGGAAGCTTGATGATGCAGGGCCCAGTGCCATTGGTACCTGCTACCATTTCCTTCTTGGTCGACGTCGCACGGAAGAGAGCGACGGGTATATCTGTAACGACGTTGCCTTCACTGTCGATGATCTGCGCCTTGGGTCCTGTAGCCAGGAGTTTGCGGTCACCAAAAGACAAGGGGTAGATTTTGCCAGCGTCTACGACCTTGATCTCAGCTTCCTGTTGACGCGCCTTCGAACCAGGAGCGGTGACAAAAGCATTGGCGAGAACGGAGGATGCCGCTGTAGGAGATGCTATAGATGTCTTCTTTGCGTCTCTATTGGCAAGCTTTTGAGCCAGCGACATGGGAGCCATCTCTACACTGTGCTTCCCAGAAGGATAGTCAGAGTCGTAAGGATCGGGGTGGATCGATGTCGATATGTAGGTGGATTGGTAGAGTTGAGAATGAATCTCGTGTCCGGTATGAGTAGAGCTAGGCAGTGGAGAAGGGGGACTTTATACGCAGAGGAAGGTGCCGAAACAACAGTGAATGTACGACACCATTGGAACACTGAGAAGCGGAGGTCTGCAAATAGTCCTTTCCACGTACCAAGGAGCGGCGGGAAACTACTTTCACTGCTTCGACTAGCTTCACTAAATACATTCCAAATGGTTTAACTTTTGGCTCATTTCATGCAGAATCGCCTTCACGCGAACCAAAACACTAGGATGGCCGAACAGCGTTTACAGATCCATACCGATCGCGTCGTTACCAATAACAAAGAGTATGCTGATCGAGAGGCGGAGGACCTCATGTTGCGTACTCGGGTACTCGAGAAGAAATCTCCTGGTTCAAAGATCATATGTGAAGAAGGAATGCTGGAACAAGATATTCGAGAAGAGGGTTTCGCTTTAGATCACTCATTGTCAACTTCGCGGATGACGTAGTCAATTCAACATCTATTAGCATAGACCTTACTTGTAGATTGTCGACATCCAGATCCACTGTCAATGCCGCGTGCATTTCTCCCCCCAATCGTAGACCATACTTTGTTGGTACAGATTGGTGAAATTGATGATCCAAGTTCATGTTTTCCCCTCTCGGTTCGTGTCATGCTCGAGTGAATGTAGCGTAAATCGCGCACATGTGCATAGTAATACTTCTAGGCAGAATCACCAATGATCCTAGCATAGTCAGCTGATCATGTGGTACACTGTAGACGATCTTTTGGGAAATTCTCCTTGCAGTACACAACTCTGTCTGCCTTACTCATAAAATACTCCATCACGACGTCCAGGACAAAATTCTCGAAGCAATATTGTCTCACTCTCACAGTACACTCCAAACATTGTTAGTGGCGTTCAAAAGCAGCCTAAGAATGACTAAGATCGGAACGGACATCAAGATGGCCAGTACTGCGCGAATCGTGAACACCTTACCTCAAGAGCAGGATGTTCCTGGCAGTCTCCGGTACGTCCAAAATCTCGGGTATAACAGGCGCAAGACTCTGGTGTCTGGCAAGAAGGTCCAGTTCGTAGACCCTCTGGGCAAGTCCATCTTGTCAGGAAAGCATGTTCTCGAAATGCCAATCGCCCTGTTCAAGGCTGTCTCGGGAAAGCACGACCTCGTGGTCGACGGCAAGATTGTAGTACCGGAGGGCATCAGCATCGCCGCTGCGAAGAGGGTCGTCAAATTGATATCGGAATTACCTTTTTCTAAGAGGGTGTATCAGTTTCAAAAGTTTGTGGTAAAGAATGCTCAGGGGCAGCCCATCAAGGACGCCGAGGACCCTTTCCAGGACCTACAACTTTGCTGCACCGCAGACGCCTTCGGTATGAGCTCGTTCACTCAAGGTATTTTCAACAGCTTCTTCAGTCGTGTCAACTCTACTGTTCCCTCGAAGGTCATCATCGACATGATTACCGCCACCCACAACCCGACTGGCAACAAGTTGTTCAAGCAGATGGCGTATACCATAGCAAGGAAACTTTATGAAAAGACTTTCACGACTGGAGACATGTTCGAGGAGCACTACCTTCCGACCAACCCCCGTCTTTCAGAAGCTATTTACGACTTCATCGCCAAGTTCGAGGAGAGGTCCATTCGTGATGCCGCTTATCAGGAGCGTGTGGCTAAGCGCGAAGTGCTTGCTGCAAAAGAAGCAGAGCGTCAGCGTCGCAACAAGGAATACAACGCGATGAGGGCAGAGGTTGCGCAGATGACTGCCGAGAAAGCTGCGCAATTGTCGGCAGCTGGCGAGTCTTATCGACAGAAGCTTCGCGAGGGCAAGAAGAACTTCACCCCGCTCGAGGCAAGCTACGCTTGGAAAGTGACAGGGAAGCGCGTTGCTGCCACAGCTAGTAACTAATTAAGCGCGATCTCGAGTCGTTCGTAGCATGTTGAGCAATCGATGGGATGAGCGGCGGGCAGAGGCAGAAAATCGGGTGACACAGCCTACGGCTCTTCATCAGGCATACTCTTGTGCGCTTGTGAATGTATACATTCCGAGGAAAGGTGTCATTTGTGAAGCTACAACATCAATGTAAACTCTCAGTTGACAGATTTGAACAGCATTGTGTCCCGATGAGATACAGAAAGTTGTCCGTGTGCAGGGTTCATGACGTGACTAGCGCCCGAATCCCGTTTTAACGTAATATATAAAACTCATCTGTGATATAATAGTGCTTCGAGACACTGGAATTCAGTGAGACTCAAGTTATTTGCCGCTTGCAGCTATAAATCCAATCGATCGAAGCAATCAATTCATGGCAAATCTCACAGTGTTTGTGTGGTCCTTATAATCACATCAGAGCCGGATGTTGCAGGTCTTAGAGATATTGACTTGCGAGTTTGATGATCTTTAGGCACGAACTTCGGTATATATTGTTGATTTATCAAGCATTCCACGAGAAGTTAGTGAAAGCACACTACAACATCAATATCCACGTTAAACCTAGTGGGAAGGCGAATAAGTGGGTGAATACCTGGTAAAGACGTCGTGAGTGATGTTAGGAACCGCTATTTATCAGCCTTCGCCACTGGAAGTGATATGGTTGTTGAGCGCTTTCACTTGGCGGACGAACCCCTGCTAGGGTCCCTACTTTAGGCACCCGCACCTGCTGTTGCCGATGAAGTCGTCACTTGCTGGCTACTACTTCTTATCCAAAAATACTCCGCCCACTACTGCTCTTCCCCGCTTCCTCACCAGCAACTCTCAACCCCGCGACTCAACCCATAGTGACGAATCTCGAAGACCAAGTCAAGTACTTATTCACGCCCTCTGTCATGGCGAACCTTTCCGATCTCCCCGCCGAACTCTTTCAGATAGTTATACACGAGCTTGTCATCACCTCCAAAAATCCTTCTGATGCTTGGTTTCCTCCCCCCCAATCGAAAATTGATCCACTTTGGAAATTACGAGGTGTTTGTCGTAGCTTCGCTGCGGAAATCGAACGCGAGGTCTTCTCTCAACAGCCAAGGGAGTTCTACGGCAGCCGTCACGTCCAGCGCCTGGTCAGGACGCACTTCGCGCCATTCATGTTGCAAGTCTCCCGGAAGCCAGGCAGTGTAAATGAGAAAATGTTCAAACGGCTCCAACGTATGGTTCAGTACATCGCGGAACAGGTCGATTATGAAGACAAAGAGCAACGCAACGAAGTCATTGACAAAACTTACAACGGCTTGAGTAAGATCCTCATGATGGATGATGTACTTCATGCCTTGTTGTGTGATAGTGTGGGTTGCTCGAGATGCTCCAAATTGCTCGGTTCGGAGCTCCCCATACGTCTTCCCTATCACGATAAGTTTTGCGCTGCCCTAGCCGCTGGCAATCATCGTCTTCTTTCCAAAATTCTCCCAAAGCTTGATGCCAAAGACGGAGATCAGCTCATCACCGCGCAGCCTATCTGGTTCGCAATACGAGTACGTGACTTGACATCGCTGAACAACATTCTCCGTTATCTCGAGACACAGCCCCCGTCAACACAAATCTCCCTTACGAGTTACTACGGGATGTTTTCCATCTCGAGGTGCATTAGCATCACACTGTCGCAGAAATATCATCCCGCTGCTCAGCTTCTGCTCGACTACTACGAGAAGAATCTGCCTTGTCCTCCAAGCAGGATCTACAGCTGGTGGGTCGCCCAAGCATCCGCAAATTGCTCGCTCGATCAGTTACAAGCCCTCAAGGCCGTTCTCCGCTTCAATGCTGGTAGCAGGAACTTGATTGAACATGACACGCTTGCTGCTGTGTACGCTAAAGGCAGCTCTGCGGCTATCCAGGAGGTCCTTCAGCATGTCGAAGACATCAACGGAGGAACACTATTGACAGCACCTATCTTCATTGCTGTTCGATCTGGACGTCCAATCGCTATACAGGCTTGTCTTCAGGCAGGCGCTAACGTCAACCTCTCCATGCGGCCCAACATGCGGGCGATTGGCAGGACACACATAACCCCTGTCGAAACCGCTGTCCATCGACATGACGTCTCGATTGTGAGAACACTTATCGAAAATGGCGCGACGATTCCGCATATCTCAAAATGGCCAACACATGCTCGCACGTACCGCTTACTATATGAGGCTGCATCGAAACTCACCGATGTCGTACTCCCTGACCTGGAGCATTTCAAAAGATGTAACAAGAACGATCTGAAGGCGTTGAAATATTAGAGATTGCTAGAATGCAGCATACCCGGGAAGATGCGGTGTGGTGGCCTTGAGAATTTAGAACAAGAGTTCCAGCGACTACCTAAGGTCCGTTTTTAAGGCAAGGTACATAGTGAATGCGGGCAGGAATTCGAGTAGAGAGCGTCATCGAGGGATCTACTGTGAAAGAAGCTGCAACAATAGATGCTATGCTTAAAATGTTCATGTCCTACATATCTCGTTTATACCAGATCCATTGTTCAACCAACAAAGATTCGTCAGATCTGTGCTGTAGCGCCTTACGACTACGTATCTTCATTCATGTTTGCGATTTGTTTGCGACATTACCGCCATACTTAGCTGCAGACTTCTGCCGTCCGTAGAAGAGCAACCGAGCCAGCATTAGGAAATCGGCAATCGTTCATATCACCAGCGCTGCCACTTGTACTATAGTATGAATACGACCTCTGCACACACATGTGAAAAGATCTTCATAGCATGTGGAAGGTTCTCGGAGCGTGAAGGAACTGACTATGCGTCAAAAGGTCATCTGTCTCTCAAGAATTCGAGCTCGCTTTCGTAGAAATGCACGCTACACCACAATTGCATCGAGGCCGGGCACATCTGGTCAACGGAGACATCTTCATCGCAAATATTCGTTACATTCTCCGGAAACTAGACAATCCATTTCCTCCACCACGACAGGTTTTGTTTCGCTGAGTTCAATATCTGCGCCTTCTCGTGATCAACATCAGCAATCTCAGAGAGATCAACGTCTTGCAGAGCGATGATTCCGGACCTCGCGTAGCAGAATCCAGCAACCCACAGGAAGATGAAGATAGCAATATCAATGTAATACGTGAGGAATGTGCCCACGCTCCATCGACCCGGAAAGAAGACGCTGTAGCCTGAGAACAAGATGACAAGGACGAGCGCACCTCCGGTGACCCAAGCGAGATATGGCTGCATGGGGCTTTTGTACGCAAGACCTGGATACATCAGCATTATTCCAGCAATGGGAGCGACGGTCGACTTACGATCTCGGCTGATACCTTGAGCCTTCAAGGCGTAGTAGAACCTCAGGTAAGTACCTTCGATGACAAGCCACCCGATAAGTCCAGCAATGGTTGTGATGTTGACGAACCATCCAAACACTACCGAAGAGTTGCTCCCCAGACTGAGATACACAAGAGGCATGAAGATGAGCGAGGCTCCGATCGCCAAGTATGGTGTTCCAAACCTGTTGGTGCGAAGCAAAACTTTGGGAGCTTGTCCGTCCTCTGCTAGTCCATACAGGGTGCGTGATGCAAGGAAAACGCATGCAGAGCCACAGCTGAAGGCCGAAGTGCATACTATGGCATTGATGATCGAGGGAAGGACGTTGATACCAGCGCGCTGGAATGCAATGACGAAAGGACTCTGCTGAGCGTCGCCCGTAGCGATGCCGAGATTCGGGTCGTTGAAAGGCACAAGCATGCCAACAATGAGGATGCTGATGACGTAGAAGATGAGCACGCGCCAGAAAGTCATGCGTATCGCATTCGGGATGATGACTCTTGGGTTCTTCGTCTCAGCGCCAGCTATGGCGACTACCTGGATGTTGGCGTAGCTGTAGGCCGCTGAGATCAAGGAGCTCCAGAACCCAAGAAACTTGCCAGTATTACCCGGCACGATATATTCGTTGAAAGGTCCGGGATTCTTCCAGTATCGAAAGCCGATTCGGTCTCCACTAGGAGATCCTCCCAAATCTACTACAAGGCCGGCGATGATGAGACCGATGATGAGCAGAATTTTGAGAGCTGCAAAGAAGACCTCGCTCTGGGTTTTGTCAGACAGGAAGTCAAAAACGATGTACATCAAGACTCACCTCGCCATAGACCTTCACACCACAGAAGTTGATGGTCACGATGATGACGATAAAAACCGAGTACCAAATGGCAGGGTTGATGCTGTTGTCCCAGAAGTTGATCAAAGTTGCAGCGGCAGCGAGTTCGGCTGGCGCTGTAATTGCCATGGTATACCAGAAGTTCCATCCAGTGGCAATGCCGAGTGCTGGCTGCACAAATCTGGTGGCATGGCGAACGAAGCCTCCCGTGACGGGCATAAAAGCCGACATCTCTCCAGCGGAGAGGGCAACACCGCAAGCGATCAAACCCATGCATAGGTATCCTAATAGAGCGCCGACTGGTCCTGCGGTAGCGATTGCTTGGCCCGATGCCAGGAACAATCCGGTACCCTATATCGTGTGCGTAAGTATAGGGCCAGGTGCGACGGATTTGGAGAAAAGTTGACTCACGATCATGCCAGCTATCGCAATCATGTTGATATGGCGACGCCCAAGGTCGCGTTTGACTTCATAATTCGTGCCCATGGCTCCATTCTCAATATCCGAACTTGACGCACAGGTTTGGGCGAGTTGCGTAGCATCCTTCTTTGGCAAATCCATGATGTTAATCACAGCATGAAAGCATGCGATGTGGATTGAGCGTAGTGACCTCGACGCGCAATAACAAGTATGATCAGGTCTCCGCACTTAGTCGTATGTTCTTGATGTACAGAGGACCGGCCTTTAATCCGAGCGTCGATGTTAGCAGAAGCACAATGCTTATCTCGCTTGTCAGCTCGGCATTCTACGCTTGACTCCGTGACTCCTAGTTACTGATAGCGGGGTCTTGCAATTTGATAGGGGCAGTGCGTCCGAAAACGGCGATAAGCTGGGGGTCTTGAGATGCCGGTGGTACTTGCCCTGCTAGAATGCCGGTGGCCCCACCCTACTCGAAGCGGGACAATAGAAGTCAAGAGAGCACGAGATGAGCATAGTATTCATTGCAAAACATCACCAGCTTCCCAAAGCCAATGAAGATGTCATCCGTCAAGGACGACTCGTTCCAATTGTACGACTTGCGGGTCGAGGTGGTTTGTCCACCAGGCGAGCGCATTTTGTGCGGAGCCAAAGAAGGAGATTACTTTACTGTTCAAGGCGAGATGCTGCATCTTCCTGACGGCCAGGGAATAAGCTTCTACAGCTTAGGTGAGTTGTATACACAGATGCTGCGTACTTCCATAACTGATGAGTTTGTATTTCAGCGGCGGTACTGCCTCTGCTAGCAGCCAAGCAGAGACCAACTCACGCACATGACTGGATGTCCACAGATGCATTGATTGCATGTCCGGATCCGAACTGCAAATCTCAGCTCAAGATCATACGAACCGGGTTGCGGACCTTCAGTCATGCGGATACCACGGTAGTTGGTCTTGAAGGGAACTCTTGAGTTTTGGATTACCGAGGAAGATCCCGAATTGATGTATCCATGGTGTAACAGTTTACATTGCTTCATTCAGCACATTGCCTTATGCGGAGGTAGTCTCAGGAGCCTTGGTGGGGTTGGAGGTATGGCGGTAAGCACCTCAAGGGTGCTCGGGGCATGTGGTTGTATGCAGTCGTCACACTAGACACGATCATGGTGTCAATATATCCAACTTATAACGCGTCGCAGCGTAGCTAAAGGCTTCAAGGAGTCTTGCAGGTGATCTCAACTATTGTCACCAGGATGGTTATCCTCCCCATCGCCATCATCATCTCAATCCTCATGCTAGGAGTATGTTGTGGCTGCAGCAGCCACGCTGCCCTCGAAAGCGCAGCGATGTCTGCACCTCGCTGCAACACCAAGACATGCGCTTGGAATGTTTGTAGTATCTCGGTAGTCTGAGTCGCAGTGATGGGAGCGGCGACGGGGCGACGACGACGGACGCTGGGGTAATGGCAGAGTAACGCGGCGCGCGTATGTTTGGCGGTGACGTCAGCTATGGCAGGGGAGGTAGGAGCTCTTGAGCGTCCGCCAGTTGCGCATTTTCCGGAACGCAGATTGAAGCGTCCTTATGGGAGATGATTCCGTCGTTGTGAGCATCTGAAAGTGGTCGTGTGGTGGAGTGCAGGCAGTGATCGCACAGGACTGGCACAAGAATAGGGAGCGAGCGCACGGGCGGATCTAACAAGGGCTTGGAAGACGCTGTTCCTACGGTCAACACCAAAGCACTTTGCTCTCATATTTTTGCCAGCTACACTAAGAACTTTCGAAGAACCAATACCCAAACGGACCAGCCGGTATACCTGGTTAACTAGTCCACTACCGATATTCACTACCGCAATCACCCATGACATTGAAAACCTCCTCCCTCCTACTTTTCTCAAGAATTTCTTCGATATGCTTCTGATCTTCTTCATCAAGTTTCCATCCATACGTCTTCAAATTCTCTTCTGTATGCTCACTGACACCCATCCGCGCGCCAATGATGACTGCACCCACGTATGGAAAGTCGAGAACCCATCTCGTAGCGACATTCGAGATGGAGACATTATGCTTGGTCGCTATAGCCTTCAGAGTCTGTAGCAAGGTCTGGAACAGATCCCAATCGCCCCATGTCTGGATCATCTCAAAGTACTTTCTTTGCGAGGGAGTCGTATCTGGACCAAACAGCTGTGGCTCAGGTTTACCAAGCCACTTCTCAGCAAGGAAGCCTCCACAAAGAGTACCATATGTGAGGAGTTTCACATCGTGCCGCGCGCAGACCTCGCCCATTCTGAATCGTGGTCGTGCATCGATAAGAGAGAATTGCACCTGATTGGTGACAACATCGATGTCGTTGTCTATCACTTCTTGAAGCCGTGCTGTGTCGAAGTTGCATAATCCCAGATGTTCAACTCGTTCGTCCTGCTGTAAAAGTCGCAGTGCTTCAATATACTGGTTGTCGTTGTAGTCTTGCCAGTGAAATTGCAAAAGGTCGACCTTGTCGGCACTCATGCGCTGACAACGCTCAGTGACATTTGCACTGATCACCGCAGGTGTAACGGTGATTTTGTGAAACACGCAGTACTTTGTGGCACCAAAGACGGCATCAGGTTTGGGCAGCGAGGATCTCAGCCGACCAAAGATGACTTCAGCATCGCCGTAATGATCAGCCATGTCGAACGCAGTGAAGCCGCCTTCAATGTATTCGACGAATTGCTTGAACATTTGTGTCTGAGATGCAGTACCCCAAGATGGACTCGACAACTGCCAGAGACCTGCAAACAGTTTAGGAAGCTCAATACCCTTTACTTTGAAAGTCTCCAAGGATTTGGATGTCTTCCGTGGATGGATTCGGTCTTGATGAGAACCATTTTGATAAGCCAGTGTCGGTATACCACTTTCACGGCCGAGCATCGTTGCAAGGACTGCTGTGCTTCGGTCAAAAGGGAAGTCCTGTGCGGAAGCAAGCCATCTTTGACGACATCGAAGTAACGAATCGAAGAGGGAGTTCATTACATGCTTCTCGTCGTCGTTAAGGTCCCTACTGCCACTATCGGATAACAGGCGTTTTTGGATCGCAGTTAATGCCTGCACTATATCGCCGTCTACGGAAGCTAGACATCGGTCAAGCTCAGTCGACCGGTGCACGTCGTGTCCATCATTCAGGCTGGAGGATTCTTCTACAATATTGTTAAGTATTGGAAAGCTGTCGAGGACCAGTCCACACCCTATGGCGGAACGTAGGCGCTGCTGGGCGCATGTGAAGTTCGATGTTGATACAACCCCCTCGGCTGTCGATTGAAACAGCTGACCAACGGGCTGACTGGCGGTGTTCCTGAGATAAATTCGCGTTTGCTCCTCGAGAATACTTGTGACTGATGGCTCCGTTGTCAAGATGACTCTGATAACGCTTCGAAGTGCGTCTGCCGGAAGGTTTGCTATGATGGTGTCCGTCATCATGTTGACGTGCGCCGTCTTGGCTTTGGAGCGTGGTATGACGGCCATGTTATCCGATGCGTAGTTTTCGGATTCGTGTAGAATTGATGCCGACTTGCTTGACTGCTCTACCCCTCCGTGCAGCAATGAGGACTATTGAGGCAGAGCGCACGTGCCAACCGCCGGCGTCTCAATCTACAGTAGAACACCGGCGACATGCGCGAGTGATAATGAAGTGGGCCGAGATCGCAGCAACTTTACCGAAGAAAGTTGGCGTATCCGTCTGGAGATTGTGCTGAATCGCGTCGGTAAGAGTGGTGCGGGGCCAACGTTTCCGAGAGGTTCATATTACTGTAAGAGCTTCACGCCAGGCTCGCTGCCGACGGTTGGGAGACGCGTTCGCGTAATGGCGGCATGAAGCACCCATGACTAGAGGGAAACGACTGAGGTGGAGAATGCGATGAATGCTTGGTTGCTGCGGAATGCTGCAAGTGTCATCGTAGCGAAGGAACGCGTGCCGATGTGGTTAGCGTAGAAAGATAACACAGATAAGACATCTTACCCGTTCGGCAATATACTACACAGATGCTCCTACAGTGTCTGTCTCAGCTCGAGCTGACCTCAATGTCCGACACAGAAATTCAGCATGACGGAGGCTGATGAGGCACCTGGTACACAACCTTCGAAAGCTGTGTGAGCCAGCTCCAGATCGATTTTGCAGTTGTGCGTTCACTGATCTGTTTGTTTGAAGACCACATGCTTGCCTACAATGTCGCAAAGTCAAGATGAAGTGCCACAAGATGGCGCAAGACACGCGGTGCGTTAGGTGTACGCGCAAATCGTTGCAATGTGACTTCCTTGGACATCGGCGGGGTCGAAAGCACGGCTTCAAGTTAGTAAAGCATGCTTATTCCAATCCGCAAAACAACTAATATGCTTTGTAGATTACAAAAACCAAGCTCAAGAGGTCAAGAGAACGTTGCGACGACATCAGGGAACGGTGAAGGTGTTACGAGGCCTGCAGCAACATCATCCAGGTGGTCTTTGCCTCAACATGCCAACCATGGTGTTATCGAGGCAGGTGACGCGGATGCATCCATAGATACGCATGCCGCTCAAAGGTCAATTTCCAGATTGGGTTCCCGTCCCCATTCAACACAACGTTCAGGTCATGATTTCTGGACGGAGAACAGAGGTTTTCGACTTTCTGACATTCTCAACCGGCAGATTACAAGAGGAGACTTCTCTTTGCAAAACGTGCTAAGCACTGAACACGGAAATGCGCCGGAAGAATGTAACCAGAATATATCGGAAAATGATCCAGTTAACAAAGGCCTGGTCAACCTCCATTTCGCTACCGAGCTGTTCGGTGGATTCATGAAGCACCTCAATCCTTTCATCAGCCAACTGGATCCTTTCCTACATACCTTCGGGTATGTCAGGGAGGCATCTTGTTTCCTCTTCACCGCTGTTCTGGCGGCAGCCGCAAAACTACTGCACCCTGCACTACAGAAGCCTTTACTCTCCCATGCTGAAGAGCTTTTCTTGGAGAGCTTTCGTTGTGGTTTGAAGTCGCCAGAGACAGTGCAGGCAATACTCATCCTGACGTATTGGAAAGAGCCACGCGACAATCGTGTATGGCTGTCTGTAGGCCATGCTATCAGAATGGCCATCGAGCTTGGTTGGCATAATCTTGGGAGTGATGCAATGAAACCCCCAGAAAACGCGTCTGACCGCCAAGCGATGCAATTCAGGAACATCGAGAGAACCTGGCTAGTCTTGTTCGTGTATGACCGAAGGTAGGAAACGTAAGATTGTCAATCTCATGAAAGAATACTGATCGACGCACAGCATCAGCTTGCAGACCGGCAAACCTTGGATGATCGAGAGAAGCAGCTATCTAGAGTCAGTAAGCAATTGGCATCTACACCCTCTCGGAGTGGCCAACGACAGGCTACTTTGCGCATTCGTATCCCTACGCCTCATCACTTCCACCCATTTTGAGATGATGACGACCCAATATGCACAACATCAACGCCAGGACCCCTCGCAGTTCCGATCACTGCTGCGCGTGCTTGATCGAAAAATAATCAACTGGCAAAGGAGATGGACGGAAACAGTATCCGAGCGGGGCGAGGATTGTCATGCCTTTTTGGTACCGTTCTACGGCAGCTACGCACGGCTGCTCTTATTCACTTCCTCACTGCGCGCATCGATTAGGCTGAAGGACATCGAGACATCAGTTGATACGGAAGCGATTTGGAACAGCTACTCCAGCGCTGTCGATATGCTCAAGCTTGTATCTGATCCCTCTTCATCACAGCTCGTATACTTTGCGCAAGACTCTGTACATGTCATGATCGCTTACGCGACAGTTTTTCTCATCAAGGTATCTGACTATCGTCGACGCTCGCAAGCTGATACACTGACCCCTGATGCAGCTCTTACTCTCAGCGCCGTCATACATCCGAATCGAGATGGAAATGCCAGCTTTGGACGGTATACGTAACACAGCGGAAGTCTTCGACAAGCTTCAAGCACCGGCAGGTACAAGCTGCGCCTTGCAAGCAGCATTCTTGCACAATGTTTTGATTCAACACGAAGCAATGAGAGAGCAGCGTTCATCCTCGCGTTCGCACATCCCCGCCGCACCCGCCGCGTACACCGCACCTACCGCGAACGTGGACACTGCAGCCCACGAACCCACGCTGCCTCATGCACAAACTACGCAAAGACATGAAGTTGATACAATGTACGATGATCAGGATGCGCATCATTATGCATCGGAAGATGCATCAACTTTCGATATGAATTTTGTGGACGACGAAGCCTGGGCGTTCATGTTCGCTAACGCTGGCTTCAACATTGGCCAGGGCGCATTCATGTCACCGACTTGAATGTCAGCGTTGACTACTACCAAGTTTGAAAGCATAAATGGTATCGGTCACAAGATTTTTCACGTTCATCGCTGACGATGTCATACACATAAGGGTTCCTAATACAGTTATACGTCTAAGTACCATCAATTAGAGTGCATCTAAAGAATCATCTTCCCCTCTACCTTGATGTCGCTTGCTGAGAATCCGACAAGAAAGCTATACTCGCCATGTACAAACTCCCAGCCATCCTTCTGCTCCGACCAGATCTTCAAATCATCCTTAAGCACTTGCAGCGGCACCTCTGTACTTTGGCCTACCTCGAGGTGGACTTTGGCAAATCCTTTAAGCAGCTTGGGGGGCTCCCTGGCTGCCTCTGGATACGAAACGTAAAGTTGAACGACTTCCGATGCAGCGATCGCTCCAGTGTTTGTCAACGTTGTGGAACAAATGACAAATTCGGAGCTAGATGTCACCGTAGAGTTTGCTAGGTGCATTGCGAGACCTTCCAACTCGAACGTCGAGTATGTGAGTCCATGGCCGAATGAGAACAGCGGATCGATTTTGTGCTCGTCGAACCACCTGTACCCAACGTTCAGACCTTCTTCATAGGGTACATTCAGGTCTGAAGTGATCTTTATGGCGTCGTCTAGTGTTTTGGGGAACGTCACCGGCAATTTGCCGCTTGGACTGATATCGCCGAACAACAATCTTTCAAGCGCCAGGCCGATCTGCTGACCTCCGTACCAAGACTGCATCACGGCATCCACCTCGTCGATCCAGGGCATGAGGATGGCCGAATTGGTGTTGAGGATAACCGCAGTCTTCTTTGAGCGTTTTGCGATTCGAGATATCACAGCATCCTGGTCGCCAGGGAGAGACAGGCCAATGTTGCTGTCAACGCCCTCGGAGTGTCTGTCAGATGCAAAGACGATGCTAAGATCAGCCTTTTCCGCAAGCGACATCGCTTCTTGGTCCCTTGCTTCATTGCCCACATCAACTCCTAGTGTAACACCATACGCGCCGGTAGACAGTGAGTAGCCCATGGAATAGTTCAGAGACAAAGATACTTCCTCGCCTGCTGTCAGATTCGCGATGCCTTGGATGGTATTTCCAAAGTTTGCTTTGGACATGTTGGCGATGACTTGCCCATCGATGTAAAGTACAGCATCTCCTTGGCCGGTCAGCGAGAAATGGTACGTTCCGCTGGTATTGGCTTTGAGAGTGCCTTCATAGACACAAGAAAACACTTGCGGCCACGATGCCCAAAGCTCTTTGGGAAATGAGGCTGAGGTGATGTTGGGGATGAAATCGGTTTGGTTAATGGGCCCAGAGAAGTCGGTAGTGGTGTAGTATGTTACATTCAGCCCGTCGTCGACAAACATGCTGGAAGGTACTGTTGGGAATCCACCGGTGCCAGGATAGGCCTCTGCATAAGTGACTGTCATGTTGCCTTCTTTGCTAGCTCGTTGTTTCAAGGCATCCAAAGGCGATTGCACCACCATTGTCGTGTCGATCACGAAGCCTCCATGGTTTTCCGTGACCTGGCTTTGGTTGGTACCGTCCACGCCATATACGACAATATGCGTGTATTTCTGTGGCGAAAGAGGTAGCGTTTGATCATCATTCTTCAGGAGAACAGATCCGTCCTCGGCCATCTTCTGAGCCAGATCAAGATGGGCTTGTGTTCTTGCCACAGATTCTCCGTTTCCGGTGACTGGATTGTCGACCATTCCAAGCTTGAACATATATCGCCATGTTCTTGCAACCATATCGTCGATGCGTGAGGCTGGTATGGTTCCGTTGTCGACAGCCTCGATCAAGAGATCTCCGTAATAGGCTGGAAATCCGTATGAAGTCTCCAGAGAACCTCCAGGCATGCTAATATCTAAACCGGCCATGACGGCACCAACAGTGCTTCTTGTGGAGAAATACCAATCGGCAACAACGAAACCCTGGAACCCCCATTCTTGCCTCAACGTAGTGTTTAGAAGCCAGTCGTTCTCGCAAGCGAAGAAACCGTTCAGCATGTTGTAAGAGCACATGACAGAAGCGGCATCAGCTTCTTGGACAGATGCCTTGAAAGCGGGTAGGTAAAGCTCGTGAAGCACCCGCTTGTCGATGTGAACGTCGACGGTATCCCAAGTGGGGCCTTCTCCAAAGCGATTCGTGTCCTGATTGTATCCAGCAAGATGCTTTGGGCAGGCTAGAGCGCCTTGACTTTGAACACCCATAACACCGGCAACGGCCATCCGAGAAGTCAGCCATGGGTCCTCCGAGAAGGTCTCGGCTGCGCGGGCCCATAACGGCGAACGCAGGATGTTGATAGTTGGTGACAAAACGACATTGCGACCTTTTGCCATGTGCTCCTGGGCTAGTGCTTGGCCGTAAGCATATTCGAGAGATGTGTCCCACGAAGCGGCAGCGACAATCGGGGCAGGGAAAGCGGTAACGTTGTTCAAGTTGTTTCCGACGCCAGCTGGGCCATCGCCCATGCAGATGGAGGGTACTCCTAACGTCTCGTTGCCGGAGATGTGCCCTATGCACGGATTGACACCTGTTCCGTTTTCATCGAGCTCGGTATCGCCTTGTACCATGGCATATTTCTGGGTGCTGTTCAACTGGTCCAAGAATAGCTGCAGTCGCTGTTCGTTTGGCAGAGTTGGATCCAACCATGGTCGATACGCTAGGGTCTGTGATGATGCATGTACCCGCGTAAAGGTATAAAGCAAGCCTGTCCAAACCGTGGTGGAGACATACATCTTGCAGAAAGACAATTGTAATTCCAAGATGACCTCGAGAGGAATACTTGGAGATTATCGGACTTGTATCATCACTCGGGTAATATACCCAGGTATGCACAGCTACGAGTCAAACGCGCGGAGTGATTAGTTTGGCCACTCCACACTCCGCAGTTTGTCCACAAGATGTGGTAGAAGGCCGGTAAAAAGCCAAGATACCGGTGTCGAGACCGTAAGTCTAAACAAATGCCGATTTGCTGATAAGGTTGACGAGTAACATTTCTCAAGCACTACTCTATCTCTGGAGAAGATCAGACAATCCGAATCGGCCTTTTGCTATCGCCTAACGGCTGGTATGTGGGCCTGGAATTAGCGTGGTTGGTGGAACACCGGCGGTGAAGATTGAATGCCGGCGTCCTCAGGCTTGTCGACGACATCTTGATGCAGCCAGTCCCATATACAACAGCATACTACGTCTCACATAGTCCTCTTGTGCTCAGGCGTAAGCATTCTCTCGCTTCACGTCGTAGCTCACCATATAGCCGTTCATGACTCTCTCTATTGAGTGGTGCGTCATACGCCGAAGTTGCCATGTGTTGTTATCGGCCGGTGCTGCTCGATAGATTCGTGGATGGTGTTATCTGGTTGACGGACCGCAAGTACTGCACTATCTGATCTGGAGCTCAATGAACATGTCGCGTCCATGATGTCGGAATGCAGGCATTGGATATCGCTAGAACTCTTTTGTGGAACGGAAAGACTTGAAGGCAGAAGGCATTGCGGGGAAGCTGGGGTGCCATGTGGGAGCTGCATGCCCCGTACGAACGGCCGCTCGATACGCCGACATCCGACGCTGGGGGTGTCCTAAATGCCGTGCAACTCCGTCTTTCGCGTCCTCCATGATCGCAAACCGAATACGCCTCACCCCAGTCAAGAGGGGAAAACATGCTTCATGACCCTCTATCTCCCTTGCATTTCTCGTCTATGATCTTCTCAATCGCTGTCCAACTCGACCACCGGCCGCGAGGCATTCAGCGATTACTGCTTACTCCTGTCCATTGTAGACCATAGTTCGTACCACTCGTGCTGACTGTTGCGACTACGACTGCGGTACCAAGCAACATGTCGTTGCTCAGGGACACGACTATGTTAGATAGATATTCATAACAGCCAACTTCAGAAAACGTCGTCACAAGCCTCTGCCGCTGTCGACCAGGACTACGCCGACAACGGCCACCAACACTCGAGCGCAAATACGGCAAGAAGCCGCTACCATACGCATCGCGTGAAGCCTCCCGCCTTCGCATACCGCATAACGATCCTCTGCGTACACTATAGTCAGGGCTGTGGGGGAAGGCCCAGCTTTACGGAAGCATTTGCAGATGCTGGATAGGCGACGAGACATCTGCATCAGCGGGAAGCCGCTTCGCAGCACATGCTTGTACGCGCTACCATCGCAACCGCCCGCCATACACACGCTTGCTCATATCTGATCGCGCCAGAGCGATCGGCAGCCACCCAAAAATCGAACACGAACGGCCTATCACAAGAAGAGTCGGCGCAGCTCGCAACACTAGGAGTATGGGCTGTACGATGCACGATGATGCACTCGTAGTACAAACTAGGTAAGCTATCAGCTCGAAGGAATGGCAAACCTTCCTATCTCAGTCTTCTTGATCGAGTTGCCGTTATGGAAGAACTGCGCAGGACTATCCTTCGTTTGTCAAGGCGCTTTGCATGGACGTGAAGAAGAGCGGGGTGGTTGGCTATATGAAGGTCAACGTCGGCCACGTAGTGTTATAATGCGCTACTCACGACTATGCAGGAGAAGAGCATCCAAATCCTAGAGAATGTGCACTTCGAGCTTCTTCGTTAGGCTACAGACGATGTATACGAACTCGGCGCGCACAAACACCTACTCTTGCGCTTCCGCAGTCATCAATCACAAAAGGTATATACCATCAGTAATTCACCTATTGTATTATACCTACCCAATACCGGGGCTCCTTTACCTCGACTGCCATGCAGTGATTAGTGTTCAGCGAGCCGGATAGTGCCGCTGTGTTCCAAGTGCTCGCGAATCGGCTATAAAACCAACCAGTACATCTCCCATCTGAGTCTACTCTATCATCGCCCATTCCGATATTTCCATTGTACAATGTCGTACTCTCCTCCTAGCTCTGCGGAATCTTTCATACTCCACATCCCCGACCAAGACATCTCCGAATGGCGTCAATCCCTGGGGCTGTCAAAGCTCAGTCCGACCACATACGAGAATCAACAGTCTGAGAAGAATTACGGTGTTACGCAGAAATGGATATCTGAAGCTAGAGACTGCCGGCTGAATAAATATGACTGGCGTGCACAGGAAGATCATATCAATTCTTTTGACAAATTCCGGATGAAAATCGACGGGATTGGCCTTCACTTCATTGGCCATTTTTCAGATAAGAAAGATGCGATTCCGATTGTCTTCATGCACGGCGGGCCTGGCAGCTTCATTGAATTCCTGCCCCTACTAAGCTTGGTCAGAGACAAATAGACCGAGAACGACTTACCTTACAACATCATCGTTCATTATCTGCCGGGCTATACACTCAGTGCAAGAGGTCTGCCGGTTGATAGAAACTGAACCACGCTAGACAGCGCCAACATCATCCACAAACTCATGACTAATCTTGGATTCGAGAAGTACACCTCTCAAGGCGGTGATGTCGGCAGTATGTTAGGGAGAATTCCAGCACAAAGCAAGGATGCTTGTGTTAGCGTCCATCGTACGTACTCTCGAGTCTTCGTGTTCGACAGCCGTCATAACTAACCGTCAAAGTGAACATGATGTCTGGGTTAGATCTTAGCGACACCAGTAACCTCAATCCATTCGAAAAGAAAGCCATTAATCGCGCACTAGACTGGCTCGACTCCAGCAATGCACATGCTCTCGAACTCAGTCATTGACCGAGCATAATCGGGTTCGTCCTGTCGTCTAACCCGCTTGCACTACTAGCATGGTAAATTCACCCTGTCACAATTCTCGACCCGAACAACTCCTCAACGCATGGTCGGAGATGATAATGTTATACAGGATTGGAGAAAATATGCTCGAATGGACCGATGTCGACCCAACCATTGACACCATTCTCACCAATGTCTCATTCTACTGGTTCACAGGCAGCCTTCCGACGTCGCTCTACATATACCGTCAACTGCTTGGCCCAATGCGCCTGCATTACCAGCACACTTCTACAACAATTGGAGTTTCGATCTTCCCGTATGAGCTGCTTCCTGGGATCAAGAGTTTGATTGAAAAAGAGTGCGATGTAGTGTTCTACAATGTGCATGACCGAGGCGGCCACTTCGCGGCGCTAGATCAGCCAGAGCTTCTTGGGGAGGATGTCCAAGCATTCATAGAGAAAGGTTTGGAAAGTCTAAACGTAGGGAGGTAGTAGCAGTGTAAGGTCTCATGTATAACTCCAGTTGTGTGTGTGTGTGTGTGTGTGTGTGTGTGTGTGTGTGTCAGATCGTACTCCCGAACTACCATGTTATACAATTGGAAAGATACTCATAGCAGGCTCTCAACTGAGAGGGGAGAATTATTTATCTTTGGACAAGGCTGGCGAACACCCCATATCTCTTGATACCAGTGATTCGATAGTATCGATATTGTCAGCTTACCACAAGTTGAGAGACTGTAGCTGTCTCCAAGTCATCCAACAGAATTACCAGCGAGAAGTTGCGTTCCGTCGAGAATTAGAGCCTCCTGGTTCATCTGATTACTTGAGTGACTTATCTGATCAAACCGGCGAGTAAGTAGAAAGACATTTCTCCGCATCAATGCTCGTGACGCGTAAGTAGCATACGTGAGTGATACCGCCAGGCGAATGGGATCAGCCTGAACAAGATGAATGACGCATTCATATGCTACGAAAATGGACAGCGCGTGGTTTATGATCACGATATTGAAGGCTACAATGATACAGCGCTCAAAGAGCCGGCGCGCAAATCAAGCCGCCCATCTTCGCTCACGAAGGTAGACGTAGGGCTGTGAGGCTACTAAGAACTCTTACTACATTGCTATGAGTGAGTCTTATACCACTTGTATAGATATATACAAGACTAGTTACAGTTATCTGACGGAGATGATACATCCTCCACCTCAATCAATCGGAGATGGTCAAAGTTACGTAACGCACTACGCAGCCAGTTCGCTCATGCGAGTAGAGTAATGCAAAGCACCTGCTTGATCTTGAGTTGAGCAATAATACAATCGACGGAACGCGTCTCTCCTCGCATATCATTCGGCGATACTATGCTCTAGTAAAAGTGACGTTGACATCGAAGAGCAATGCATGTAGCAGTGATGTCAACAATTACCACTTTGATTGGCAATTCCAGGACAGCGACTGGTCACCTGTGTCACGGCCCTCGCTAAACTCTATCGACGGTCCGATAGCCGTCTAGAGGTAGTTAGTCTGAGCGAAGCTTGTGCTGTTCAAGCCTTCTCCAAGCACTTATCCAAGGATAGGTAGTCATGTTGGATGAACTATGGTTGAAGCGTCCACTTAGCAGCACGAACGTGTATTATAGGTTAGAGTATTATCCTGCGCATACTCACCATTCTCTAGCTACCGTGTCGGCGACCATAAACTTTGCTAAATCTAGCTAAGCCTTTGTCGCAAGCTTTTGTTCAAAGACCTGGCATGGGCGGACGGATCAGGGGAACATCGTGGCAGCAAGATGTCATTGACTCGCTGTGATTGGCTGACTGCAGCCTTGACGCACGACACCCGATAGATCGTGTACGCTTGGGTGCTGTACCCATCGGCCTAACTTTACCCCGCTACACCACTACACCAAAACCATGTTACGGCGACAATTGTACGCTCAGCCTCAATACAGGATACTAGTGCTAGATGTGGTACGCGTCACCTAGACAGGCGACAATGCTCAAGCCAACGTCTCTGATTCAATCAGCATGGAGGTAATTCCGACATACAAAACATAATCACTCTGGCTGTAATTGGCTAAGCTCTCTGATGCACTTGCGTACCGTGAGTAAATACTGGATAGGCAGATATATGTCGGCTCTGTTCTCCTTTTCTGTCATAAGCATATCATTCTCAAGCATCTTTTGTCGTCTGCGATTGACAAATTACGATGAGGACTTCAAGAAATGCATTTCTTTTATGCTGCGGTTTGGGTGAGTATGACAATTCAGATCCTTCTATCGTTGCACTACAGGAGTAAATGCTAATAACAACATGCCATGCAGCTCTTTGCTATATCAATGCATTCATAGCTGTGGTGCAGGCACAAGACGCTGCGTGTTCAACTTTTATATATCCCACCGACCATGGAAACCTCACGTTTGCCTTGAGCGCTGCAGAATCGACTGGCGATGTCTACTTACACATCTCTGCACCAGCGACATACCAGTGGGTCGGTGTTGGTACAGGAAGCGAGATGGATGGCAGCGTCATGTGGATTGTGTATGAGAGCTCGGATAAGAACGGTCAGCGCTTCGGATTCCTTGCGCTTGTTGGCCTCAATATCTAACAATTATTAGGCGTCACACTTTCACCACGAACTTCAGATGGTCACGTTGAGCCAAGCTTCGACAACAGCATCGACTGCGTGCTGGTTGAGGGAACTGGTTACCACAACGGGATCTATCAGACTTCCGGCACCCACTACTACTCCGCCAACACTCGCTGCAAGAACGTCACTACGTTCGGACATGGCGATGGGAAGCTCGAACTGAGCAACGCCAAACAGCCCTTCATTTACGCATGGGGTCCTACCGACGACACAATCGCGAGCGCGTCAACGTCTGCGCATATCAAGCGTCACGAGGCATACGGAAATTTCTGGATGGACATGACTAAAGCTACGTCTAACCAGACGAGTACGGTCAATGTTCCAAACGGTGCAGTTCTCTCAACTACGAATAATGCCGGTGCAGACGAGAAGGCAGAAAGTGACGGCGATAAGGTTGGCCCAGCCCATGCAGTCATCATGATCGTTGCATTTTTGGTCATCTTCCCACTTGGGGCGGTTCTGCTTCGCTTCCTCGAAAGTGTTAAGATACATGGAATTGTGCAGGGCGTTGGTGTCATCACTGCCGTGGTTGGAGTGGGACTTGGAATTTACCTGAGTACAATGTACAATCACGTAAGCTTACTCTCCGCTCACATGGCATTAGACATCACGGACTAACACGAAATCTTTTTAGTCGAAAGACTTCACATCAGGCCACCAAGTCTTCGGTCTTATCCTCTTCGCCTTGCTCTTCCTCCAATGGGGACTTGGACTCTACCATCATCTTCGGTTCCGCAAATACCAACGGCCTACAATATATGGATATATTCACTTGATCGCTGGTCCAGCTATCGTCTTGGGTGGTATCATCAACGGATTCATCGGGTTCAATTTTAGTGGCGATTCGAGGGATAACAAATATTATGGCATCGCCGTGGCTGTTATATTAGTCGTGGTTCTTGGATTGTTGGCATGGAAAAGGTGGTCAAAGAGAAAGGAAAGCAAGATCGACAGGGGTATGGAGCTGGTCAGGTCTGACAAAGACTAGTATAGACTTAATTCACTCCCAGGGTTGCACAATTTGCGCTAGAACAGAGCATCAGCCTCAGTCGCGCCTAGTCGGTTCTCTTTGGGTGACTCTGAAAGCACAAGAGTGTATGATGATTATTAATATCTCTCGGACCCACGCTTCAGTGTCATCAATCTTCCACAGTCGCCTCTCACGAACATTGGTTAGTACTCATATACATAATCACTAAATTCGGACTATTTATGACCTTTGAGCTACGTTGATGTCCCCATTGTAGTCCTGTAGTTTTCCTAACGTTAAGTAGTCTATGTGGGTTTTGTTTGGATATGAATCGTAGCTTCGCAAAACACACCTACACCGATCAAGTTTGCCGTGAATCATCCGATAGCGTCTTGATCATACTATACGGTTCAACCACATCTCCTGTCCCCGTTGCGCGCTCGCGTCGCTACAGTCATTGAAGCATTTGTCGTCCAAGATTGACAGGAGATCGTCTGCGTGCCTTCGGAGCTGATCATGAGCTATTTCAATCACATCGAACGTGCCTCCTCATCCTTGCAGACGTAGTTCTCCAAAATGGTTTGCCATGTATGTGGTAACGATGGAGTAACTTTACGATATCGCAAGGACCGCCATTTCTTGTTCCAGTCTGCCATGCCATGGCAAGTGTTGTTCATCGTAAGGATGTTTCGAACGTCCCAGACTAGTCCAGAACAATAGTCGAATGTTACAGGCGCAGTACCGTTGATGATATGCCTCATCAGTTCTGGAAGTTCATCGAAGAAGTAACTACTAAAGCCCCTATAACCTGTGCCACTCCGTTCCAGCTCGTCTACCGATCCAATCTCTTTGCCCGGAAACTTCTCAAGCGCGGCTTGCCATGACGCATCTTCAAGCAGTATGTCAAAGATAGGTTGCATCGAATCCTTCTCACCTTGAAAAGCTAGGGAAAATGTTTTTGGTGGCATACCTGCAGGTTCGAGTGCCAGAGCTTCAGTCAACCACAGTGCGAGCGTACGGGTAACTTCGTCAGCGTCCATGTCGCCTATCGGAGTTCTTCCTTTACTACAGATATAGCGACGCCATTCGAAATCTCGGAGGTGTTGTGAAGCGAGAACATTGTTCCAAAGGTCTACGCGACGAACGATCTTGAGCTTAGGGTTCTCGATCACGAAGGGGATAAGAGCCCTAGCATGGCATTCAGAATATGCGAAACTGGCATGTAGCTCATGAAGTTCAAGGTGTCGTATGCTACTTCGAGACCGCTGAGTCAAGGTTGATAGAAATTCCGAGGCCAGTGAGGCGGCTGAAACGGAATATCTTGTTTGGTCGCGAACTCGCTCATCGATCGACGGATGTCGATATGAGGGCATGTGCTGGACCATGGTCTGAATCTCGTGTGCGTTTGGGGCACACCATGGCTTTGGCCTCAAAGAGTATAGACTTAAAACATCCTGACCATCACGAATCTCACAACCATGGTCAAAAAGCTCTTCTCGAATCGCTTGACCGAAAGCAGGATTTTGCGCAACCATGCTAAGCAATTCAGCGATAGCGTCATGATGGACAGACGGAGCGGACCCCCATTCTACAGATCTTCCCAACTGCTCATGAAGTCCACATTCTTCTGCCTTCGAAGTCCGGAGATGCCTTATCAAAGTTGCGAAGTGCGGGAATGATTGGATGGTCTTCCGGGCGATTTCGTCGGTAATGAATGGTCTGGCTTGCGACAGCGTCATGATCTTTATCGCATAAAGTCTTTCTAGTAGGTGACCAAAGTGTCGATAATCTCGATTATAGCGATCAGGACTAGGAGAAGTCGTAAAGTGAATGGTGTTGTTTCGAAACGGAACACCGCGCATCTCGGCAGCGAAGCTCTTGCATGTGTACATGAGCGACAAGTCAATCTTGTCCCCACATAGAGTGCGTAGCTTTCCTTCCCTAGGGTCAAAATAGTATCCACCATTTTCAGATGTATAGTAGTCGTAAATTGTGTCTCGGAGTTCACGAGGAAGCTGGCTAAGAGACATTGTATTGGCGATCTGAGACGCGTGCGATCCGTTCAATATAGTAACACGCTATTGTGTTTTCTTTCCAAGTCTTGGTGCTTCAAAGCTAGCTCGATGTCGAAGTATGAAGGTGGAACCGTGAGTATTAGATCTCGTGGAGGTGCGAGGACCTTTTATGTTATCATGTCAAGGCACCAGCCGCGCAAAAAGCACATGACCCGCTGGATCCATGGAAAGCTGCTCTTGAACCATGGAAATGTAGGCTATAGACTGCGAAGAACTGTGTTCGCTCAGTCAAGCCACCGTAGAGGGTGGAATCAAAGGGTCTGGCATTACGTAGTATCGGGTTTTTTATTCAGCGTCTAAAAGCTTCTACTTTTGCAAGCATGCTGCTATCCTGTTATAACTCTATAATCTTAGCTGTGTTAAGCAATTTACTATGTGCTTATGAGCCATAACAAATCAATACTACAAAGCATTTTTTTCCCTCTAGCAGAACGTAGTCCTATACACCCATGTTAGTTTGAAGGCTGAGCAACACGCTGGGAACTTACACGGCCATTCGAACTTGAGCTCTACATTGCATCTTTCGAATCTATTGGTGGCGCAGGCGTCACGATCACACTATAGTCACTGTCATTAGACATCCCGACAAAAACGGCTCGATACTTACAAACGTTGTTCCGGTGTGTAGTGAGAAACACCCGGAAAAACCTTATGATATCAGCATTGGTTACCGGCATATAGGCAGTGACAATCAGGGCTTACCGTTGACCCGCTCCGATCAGCTGTGTCACGTGTGGTTCGGTTGCCTGTCTTGCCTGGGCTGATACCGTGGGACTGCTCAACATTAGTGGCGGCTGACCCAATCTTGTTTTGTGCCTTACCTGGGTGGTTTCGAGATGACGTTTGCGCAATTCTAGAACACTTAGCGCCGACCAAACCAATCATCGCTTATAGCTTACCCATGGTCGAGCGGTAGAGAGCCTCAACATTTCTCGACCCATCTAGAGTTGTTAGAACCCTCTGTTTAGAGGATTGTGTGTGGCTTACCATTGGTCACCATCGTAGCTGTCTGGAAGGGGACTTTGGGAGGCCTGGACCGTCAGACGGAATCGGGGACAACGCAATCCAGAGCTTACCTTCGAGTGACTCCTGGCCTCTATAGATTAGTTAGCTCGTTCTTAGGTATGGATACGTGCAGCATACCCAGAGGGGAGAGCTCATTGGTCCGCAGTTGCGACATTGTCATTGTTGGGTTGTGTTGGGAAGATGGACCACGGCACCCTGTTGCAAAGGATCAGCGCGATGTCGAGAGATTTGAAGCTCAGAGCAAGGTCACTCACTAGAGAGAGACCTCGAGAGACCTCGTAATGCACTTGAGTATCCGTTAGAGCTGTATGCAAGCGCAACAACAATAGCTGGTAAGCAAGGGATCGATGATGCGTATCTCAGGTCAACTTATCGCTAATCAACGCGACAGATGTTTCCCTGACCCAGACGCGTCTGACAACGTCCACGATTTTAATCCGCCCGCCCAATACATAACATGGCCAAGTGGAGGTCTTCAGGGCCCTCACCTCGCGAGCCTCGTCGCAATCCATCCCTCAGAGCCTTTCCTTCGACCGTTAGCATTCTCAACTTAGACACCACCGGCGCGTTCGGTCATGTTAGCATGCCTAGACTGGTGGCTCGGCTGTCGCAGCATGGGACCTTGTCGGCAGAGGAGGCATTGAGCTTACTAGTAGAGAAACGAGATCACCAGGACATAAATAACGTTGAGATCGATCATGGGGATAACAAAGGCATCGGGCAAGGGGAAGTACAAGAATAGGCCACTGAACTCGAACTTCGAATGCTATCCAGCGTCTTGGGTAGTCCAATTCCACCATATGCTACGTTGGATATATTCTTATGGTCGACTACAAATAAATCACTATCGAGTAACTATAGCGTTTTGGAGACCTTCCTTGTATGCCCTGCGCACCTTGCGCCGACTACTCAATGTCAGCCAAGGTGACCATTCTTCGCAAAGATCTTGGGATGCTGCAAACCTCAGCAAGCGCCGTGGTGCGGGTGTGGGCCAGGTCAACCAGTTTGACATGCGACACCATCCACCAACTACTATACTTATTCCGACAGATCCATTACCGGTGCTGGTGCTGGTGTAGACCCCGATTCTCTCTTCGCAATGGTAAAGGCACTTGGTAAAGTGCGCTGGCCTCGCTCCAACGGAGAAGGAGACTCAGCGAACGAAGTGCTGGTATGAGATGGAGACTCTCCCGTTGAGCGAGCGCCAGGAGCCTTCAACATCCCGAGGCGATCCGGACTCACGTGCTCGAGGTCAGATACCGCGATGACAAAGTCATCTGGGCCTTTTCTGAAAGATGAACCGTCACCAGCGAAGGCGCCAAAGTGGGTTGGATACTTGCTTCGCTCCTGGGGTGTATAACTCTTTGCGCGATTGTACGAGCTGTAAGTGCTGGAGCGACTTCCGCTGCTATCGTATGAACCCTTGTGATGGTTGTACATCTGCCGGCTGGGGCTGCTATGCGACTGGCTGTTCGACCGATACGGATTAAATGAAGTTGTCTTCAGCGATCTGGAGAGCTCAACAGCTTCTCTTAGCCACGGCCTGTTTTCCTTTGCTTTGTACATCTGTTCCACATAGGCAGGACCCGCTTGCTCTAGCGTCTTGTTACGGTGAACTTGTCCGAACCCGAAAATGAACTTCTCCGGAGGGCAGAGTCTTTCGCCATTGTTACCGAGTCCTACACCGTGCGCGATTTCGTATTCTGCGATGATAGTGCAGGGAACGGCATCAACATTCTCATGTCCGAGTTGTATTGTGCCATAGTGATATAGGTGGCGTAGCCAGTCCGATCGAGTGCGACAGTGTTCGGGAAGCATCGTCGCGAGATGTTCTCCAACGAAGTCTCCAGTCTTGATCTTACCAACCTTCGAGATCATAGGGTTCATTGTCAAAGGCCTCCAGTCCCGGCCCTCGGGTGGGTCCAGGAGTGTGCCAGCGGCATTCGGTGGTGGAGATGATGATGCGTGAACGGAGCGCATCAAGCCGCGCACTCCTCCATCTGCAGGTTGTCGAAAATGATTGGGACTAGAGCCGTAGATTGGTTTACCGCTGGGGAAAGTCTGTGTCGGAGATGGTGGGTCTGATAATGAGCAATCGGAGCCAAGTAGAGCTCCGGGTGTTGAGGATTGGTAGTCGCTTGCGGAATCGACCTGAGAGGAGCTGGAAGGTGGAAGCAGGTCGTCGTGAACGCTTTGAAAAGACGTTCTAGCATGTTCATGGTTCGGCAACTCCGTTTGTTCTCTCATGTTCTCAGTACTGGGTTTAGAAGGGGTCGATAAGATGGTGCTTGGGCGTTCCAAGTCTTGATATTCGTCAAAGCTTCGCTTCGGCTTCTTAGTGACCGGCTCGTCACCTACTGTGTCAAGTGGGAGGGGATAGTCGTCGATGTCATCGTATTTTCCGGCTTCCATGACCGCTTGGTGCTTTTTGAGCTGGTGTATCATCTCGTTCATATCGCCGAAGCTGAGTGACTGCGCTTCAAGGAGAGCCTTAATGCGTTCTTGACGTTGCATCCTGAAGATCTCCCTATCTGTTGACTTTCTTAAAGCCGACATGTTGGGATGCTCGCGCTGACACTTCGTACGGCTGGAGATAGCTACGTTGGTAAAGAACGATCTCAGTACTAGAGAGCCATCAGCGACTGTCGAATGCCTGATTATGAGGGAAACAATTTCTGAACCTACTTGGATGTAGACCTGTGATGGCTAATTCTGGGTAAAAGAAAAAGAGAAAGTAACAGTTGGGTACTCGGTATGAACGATTCTTGACGATGTTAGACTATTGTGTCACCACTGTGAGCATGAGCCGTATGATGGGTCTTCGTATCAGTCTTTCCAGCGTCCTTTTATGACTTCTACGTGCGCGCGATTCGTCTCCAGATCACCACGCCATCCCTAATCTAGCAGCAACGCGCTCTGCTCTGTGATCTCGAGCGGCTTTCGCTCAGCGACCAATCGCTCGCGAGATCAGGATCACGAACATACAACGGCATGCGCGCTTCTGGCTGACACTGCCTGATCTGGATGCGCGCCGCTAATGCTGGATGTATCACGCATCAAGGCGCTGGAGGCTGTTTGAGAGTTCGCACTATGGAACACTAACACTACCGGCAGGAAGTAGTACGAACTGAAGACCCGCAGCTATCTGATTTAGGTTCCGAAGTCGACTCGATGGTTCGATCGTTCCTGCGCTAGTGGCCACGAAGGATTCACGCTTATGTTACTACCGGGCCCCCCAAAGTGCAGCCACATCGCCAAAGTGTCGCGTAGGCTCACCACCCGTCTTGGCCTATGATATGCTATTTACTTTTTAATCCTACGTTCGAAATATTAGGAAGGCTGGCAGCGCTGATGCAATTGACAGGGTCAAAGACGAGTCCCACCACATCTGCCAGGCTCGCCGGCTCTCACAACCTCCAGCGCACTAATTCCGGGGTAATTTCGTGCTTGGCAAGCCGTGATGCTCACCTCTTGACACAAGGTCACGTTATCGATTGTTCATCAGGTACGTCACATGATTGTCACATGATATCTATGTCAGGCTCCTGGACATGCCATCATCTGTGTCGTACGACGCGCTGACATGAGATTAACTAAGTACTTGCAACTTTTGACACGCGTGTAATCATCTGCTTTTCGTGAGGTATCTCAAACGCCATACTAACATCACGAGGTTTAGCGGCTGCAAACTTGAACACACGAGACAATGGAAGCATTCAAAGAAACATTCATGGCATAGCCTCATTTCCTGGCCTGCAATCTGAAGATATATGGACTCTGAACTGGTTGCACCATGTGAACAAGTGTCCATGTGTTATGATGAATGATATGGATCAATGACTATGTTGATATGCAGCGCAAACTCAGACTCATGAATCAGATCATCCTCCTGACAAGATACGAAGTCATACAGATGTTCAGACGGGTAAGTAGGTTGAAAGTACTGGGTAGATACAACAGCTGGAGACACAAACAAATAGCGCGATCGGACGCTACAAAGAAGACAAGGTTATGAAACTCTGGTAGCAAGCAAAGCTAACGCATTACGAAGTAGACCAAAATCAATTCGAGGACAACGTAACATGAGCTAATCATAAGCAGGATTTACTGTCTGACGCTGGAAGTTATGAAATGCAACATGGAGGTCTCTCGGCATTTCTGTCCTTGCTCGATGGATGTTGTTACCGCCCAAGCGGCGAACGCGTGTGGTCTTGATCTTCAGGTTTTTAGAAGTGTCTGATGGAAGCAATTTGATAGGGGCCGAAGGTGCATTGGGTGTCTCCGCGATGATGCAGGGTCTGGGACCCATCTGGCGTTGGGAGAACTCGTTTGGCATTTGTATTTGGGGTCCGGGTAATTGTGGCATGCGAGCGGTGGATCGGTCAGAGTACGGGTTTCGAGTGCGTGGTCGCGAAGGCGTTTGAGGAGACGGTGTGAGTGCTGTTGTACCAGCCATGGCTCTAGGTGGGGTCGGTTGTGGCGAAGGTTGCGATACAGTTTCCGTCGGCATCGCGAGTGATTCAGTTGATGACATCGAAGAAATTGCGATATCTGGTTGCGTAGGTTCCAAAGAGAACTGTGAAGAACGAGTGGAGGCCACTTGAGAGGATGTGGCATGCATCGAGGAATCATCCATGTGGCTCTCGTTCCACGATCCAGATGGCGCTCGAGAGGGTAATGCGGATGCACGGTCTTTTGGCTTAGTGTCAGAATGGGCAGACGTCGTCGCACGAGATGGAAAGTTCTCGTCGACATCAGCGCGCTGGCGTTTGCGCGAGTTAGTTTGCACAGCCTTCAGCCAGGCGTTCGTCGTGGGGTCTGAGTTTGTGGCAGGAAACCTCTCCCAGAACACCTGTTTTGTGGCGTAGGAACGGCTTTCCTCACGTGCCCTCCGCATCCTTGGGTCCTGGCATTGTGGACTCCATGCGGGATGGCTTCTCCCACAATTGACGCAGCACTCCGGCCCTTTGCAACCACCATCCCATGCATTGTGCTCTTTAGTTTGCCGTCCACAACGAAGACAAAAAGGCTTGGATGGATCTGGACATTGGCTTTTCAAATGACCTGGCTTTCCACATGTATGACACTGTTTCGGAGTAGAGCGCTTGTCAAAAGCTGTCGCGTTTGCCTGGTAGCCGCTCAGCCACACCGTGACATTCTTTACAAGCTTTTGTGCATCGCCCAGGCGATCAAGAGTCCATACAAGCTTCTTGTATGTCCATCGCGCGTCAACGATATGGACCTCATTCTGCGCGCTCCAAGTGGCGATGAAGTCGTTGGGACGGTTGAATTGACCGTTTTCTCGATATCTGAAGTTGTGTATCTGGACTTGGAAGGATGGTCGTAGCAGATGACAATCGTCCTTTGGTATCCCAAGCATAGGTCCAATCTGATGCTGGTGAGCATGGATGGCTGCCTCAGCTTCTGGGTTGGACACCATGAGCACCAACGCAGTCGCGTGAACGCGGCATGCTTGAATCTGATCGAATGGAGCATTATTGCGGGTAAGACATCTCACAATCTCTTCATTTGTCATCCTGTCGATCACTCCTCCGGCGTCATGGCGAAGACCGAATTTGATCTCATAAGACTGTTGATGAGACGTTTTTGTAGATGCCAGAGATGGGGTTTGAATGCCATTCTGGATGTTCTTCTCGCGCCTATCGAGTTGTTGCAAGTTCCGTTGGCTTTCTTCGAGAATCTGCCGGCTTGTATCGAGATTCCGCTGGCATTCTTCGAGATTGCGACGACCTCTCTCTTCATGCGAGACTGTAGGCTGTAGAACCATATCTCTAATGCGGAGCTTGTCGAACAGTTCGCGTTGCTGCCCGCTGAGCGAGCCCATGAGCCTTTCAAATGTTGCCTGATCATTGAGTGGAGAGGCCATGATGAGATATTGATGAGAGGAAGAAGTGAACGTAGTGTATAATGTAAGAAGACGATGTTTGGTTCGATTGAGATAGCCCAGAGATGAAGGGGGTATAGGAGCGTAGAAGATTATTCAGACGATAGTGTTGCGGATAACAATGATAATTCTTGAGACATGCACTTGTTCCATGCTCCGCCCTTGATAAGGTTGACATACGGCCTCAACACCTGGCACTTTCCCCACATGCCCGCAAGTTTCCTACCAATAGTCGCTAACTCTTAGGTTCTAAGTCTCCACTAGAGCAACAGCGTTCCCATAAGCCATCCACATATCTTAGACAATAGTGTGCTAGTGCTCGCCTTCGTCACGCTACCCAATGGATAAAATCGCCATGCCTACTTGCCTAATCCGACTAACCGGTCAAGGCCAAGGATGAGTCTGCAAGGTCAAAGTATGACGATAGCGTTGAAGAATTCGATAAACTCTCAAGCACAAGATGTACAAGGAGAACATTGTGGCGGTACTAGGCGGCAACCCAGTTCATCTCTGACACGGATAGTGCAGCAGTAGATACACTAGATACACTTCTAATCCAAATGGATATCATGTATGACAAGTTGTCCGGCGGGTTGACGATACTCGGAGGAGGTTGGGGATGTTAACCGACGTCACTAGCGGCACCGGAAACGCGTGGTACGCGCTCACGCGACTGGGAAGCGGGACCCGCCCAGTAAGTGGGGTAAGATGCTTCGGCAAACACCAGCGTGGCGTTTCATGAGAGTCTTGCGCGTACGATAGTGTGATATGAGCCGACGATATTGCCGCACCAGATGCGCGAGCGCACGCTTGCGCTGGATCACACATTGTAATCAAGAGCCTATATCTCGCCACAAGCACACCACACCAGAATCCAGATCACTATCACAGCAAGTCTTTCTACGCAGACTACGAGAACCTGCAGCAGATCTTCCATCTACATCGCGATATGCCTGACCATGCCTTATCCTCGGAGGACTGCCCACAATTCGTTGCGGCGCACACCCTCGCCGACACCTTTGCCACCTCGAGCTTTGACCGCGGCGCCGCTGTCAATCTTCGACTTCCCTTTGCCATCTGCGAACAATGCAGACAATGAGGGTGCATCATCAATTGATCAGAGTAAGGATTTCCTTGACAGATCTGTAGTTTGCGTCTAAACATCTCAGCAGATACCATTAGCGACACTTCGCTGGAAAACTTCAGCGATGTTTACAATGTCAATATGAAGTGTTCGCGGAGGAGATACAACAGTCTCAGAGACCATTTGCTCAGGGTGTCAGACAACTACAACAAAGCAGACAGCCAGAGTGAAGCCCAGCGACCCCCTGCAATAATCTGCGTGCAGGATCCACCACCTCACATCGCCTATCACAAGATGCCTGGTTACCGTTGCGAATATCACATTCGTGAACATCTGAAGCCCGCCGATTACCCACTTTTATACAACCTCTCAGGCAAGCTGACACATCTCGACAAGAAGATGGCGAAAAGAAAGGCAAAGGTGGCGCAATTCCAGCAGCTGACCCTATCGACTATAAATCCAGGTGTGCGGACGGCCAACGAGCGTGCAGTGTCGCGACTAAGCGAAGAGAGTACAGCCCTCAGTTTCAAGAGGTTGGCTGAACTAATGGGCTTACGACAAGTCGCATTCTTCATACGCAATGATATACCCAAGAGGGATACACGCGTAGTTCCTCACCACGGCTGCAACGAACCATACGCCGCAACGCTTGAGGTCGATACTCAGTCAGGTACACTTTGCATACATAACATGTACAACCACGACCAAAGCATAAACATAGCGGAATTGAAGGACAGATGTATGCAGTCGGACAACGATATTCTTGTGGGAGATTCTAATCTGCATCACAAACTCTGGGGTGGAAGTACCGTTTCCACCGCAGCTTCAGCAAGCTCATTGTCTTCTCAACTGGCCCTAGCCTTGCAGGAAACTCGAATGCAGACCTGCATGCTACCCGGTACCATCACGTATGCACCCGGACTCAGAACGGTTTCAGCACGCCAAACCTCGATCGACATCGTGTTTTCCAGCATGCTTCTACGACCACGCATCCATGACTGCGGTCCCATAGAGGTCAGGGGATACGAGTCCGACCACGCTGTCATCAGGATGTCCATGGACATGGAGCCAAGTTCTGCTCCACCTAGAACGAAGAAGCTCTACGAGGAGATCGACCATGCCTTCAAACAAGACCTTGTCACGCAGATCAAGAGTTTCGTTCGATGCCCCGGCGACTCGATCCTTGAGTATGGCGCGCATGTCGTTCGGTGTATTGCTGGTGCGGACGAGCGCGTACCCACCAAGCGCACTATCGAACGGACCAAGCCTCCGATCCCCAAGCTCTTTGCGCAGAAGCTTGAGATAGAGCGTAGAGCATTGCTAGCGCTGGAAAGGAAACCAACCTCCGAGAACGTAACGCTTTTCGAGCAAGCTAAGGGAGATCTTGATAAAGACATCGCCGCGGAAAACCGCAAATCTTTTCGCAAAACAGTTGCTCGCACGTCAGAGAAACTACGGTGGCGCCACTATACATGGGCACGACGCGCACAGACATGGGACAAGCCTCAACAAGCGCCCACTATACCTGTGCTTCAAGTCGATGGCAAAACCTTCACGACGATTGAAGAGAAAGCCAGTCTGTACGCCCGTACCATCTGGCCGGAAGTTCGCAACCACACAGATGGCGACCCTAGCTCGCCGATCTTACCAAATTTCCACGATCGCGAGCAGTTGTCATGCAATCAGTTCGTCACAGAGAAAGAGGTGCTCGATACCATACAGGACCTATCCGACCGCAAAGCACCTGGTTCAGATCAGATCAGCAACGAACTATTGAAAGCTTGCAGTAAGGAGCTCGCGCCAATTCTAGCAGACCTCTTTACCGACATGTTCAAACAATGCGTCCACCTCAAGGACTTCAAGCACGCCATCACAACACTGTTACTCAAGCCAGGGAAGCATCCAGCTCTCCCGAAAAGTTATCGGCCTGTTGCATTGCTGTCCTGTCTAGGGAAGGTATTTGAGAAGTTGATCGCGAATCGCTTTAGATATCTTGCTGAGACTCACAATCTACTTCCAACTTTGCAGTTCGGAGCTCCTGGGCGTGATACGACGAAAGCGTTGCAAGCAATCATCGGTCCAGTTTACACAGGCTGGTGTACGAAGCGAAAGACGACGATATTGAGCCTCGATATCACCGGCGCTTTCGATCGCGTCAACCGAGCAAAGCTTCTTCAGATTCTGGTTGATAAAGGCATTCCCAACTGGCTGGTTCGCCTTACTGCTTCCTTTCTCTCAGAACGAAGTACCACACTCAATATGCTTGGAACTTTGTCGGAGCCATTCTGGGTCGACATCGGCATACCTCAGGGCAGCCCGCTTCCACCCATCTTGTTCCTTTTCTCCGCTGGCGATATACACTCGCTTTTTGGAAAGCACGATCACATCGGAGCCGACGCCAAAGTTCACTGCTTCGCCTACGTCGACGATACCTAATGGTAACATCTCCCACGTACGAGAAGAATATCGAAATCCTGGAGGATATGCACTCCAAGCTTCTTCGTTGGGCTGGCGACAATGGATACGAATTTGGTGCTCACAAATACTCTCTTATGCACTTTCGCAGTCATCATAAGACACCGGTGTGCACTCTACTTCCCAACAACATTCCAAATTTCGGTGAAGGTCGCGACGCCACCGACCCAGTTCTGAAAACCGACACGGAGCCGATGAACATACTTGGTGTTCATGTAGGCCCTCGGTTGTGTTGGAAACAGCATATCACTATCATGGAAGCAAAGGTTGCGCGTAAACTTCGTGCCTTATTGCGCGTTACTGGTACTACGTGGGGAAGATCTCTCCACGACATGCGCGAATTGTATCGCACCACCATCATTCCGATCATCACCTACGGTTGCGGAGCTTGGTACGTCGATGCCACCAATGAGCCAAATAGAGGAAATCTTCCGAAATATCTCCTGCAGCGACTCGAGAATTTGCAATATTCTTGTCTGATGCAAATATCTGGTGCCTTCCATCGCACTGCAGCCAAGATCCTCGAGAAAGAACTCTTCATAGAGCCCCTCGTAGTCACGCTCGCAAGGCTGTCCATTGCGCACCGCGTTCGTTCCTACTACGATGACGACAGCGTTCATTCTCGGCTAGCACGAGAGGAACGGCATAGCAAAGAAGAGGTTAAAACCCACCCTTACCAGATTCTGGATCGAGAGGCCTGCAGCGTTGAGCGAGCCTCACTGGCGTTTCTCCGTCAGAGAAAGACCGCTGAACAGGCAGACAAGGACTGGACCAATCGCAACAAGCGTAGAAAAGCCATCAATGTGTACCTTGAGCAATGGGCGTTTTTCCAAAGTGCATATATCTGGAACGAATATCGCAACTCGCGACTCCTTCGTGGAGGGAAGGTTTGCCCAGCGTTGGATAGCGACTTTTACGCCGAATGGGATGAGCGAAGCCTTGAATGCTACCAAGGCCTCACGCGGGCCCAAAGCACCATGCTTCTACACATCCGAACTTCTTTTATCGGTCTTAACGCCCACTTGCACTCGATCAAGGTAAGATATCCGTATCATCCGCGATCATTCACTTGCCTAACATATCTGTATAGTGCTCGGAGACTGCATATTGCCCCTGCCTTCGTGATCGGCACACGGCAAAACATCTCCTCCTGGATTGCAGTCTACTATCCGAGCAACGTGGCGCTTTGGTGAAGGCGATCGGTCACCTCAGCTTCCAAGACATGTTGACGAAGGACGCCTTCGAAACGACACGCTGGGCCGTCATGCATTCCGGCATGGCGCCATGGCATTTGGCTAAGAGCGATGCACAAAGCTGGATATCGACGAAGCGAAAGAAGAAGGGCAGGCGACAGCAAGGCGGTAGAACCTAGGCTTCAGGCGTATCAGTACTTAGCGGTCCGCTTCATCGGTTCTATAGACGCGACCTTCAATAAACTCTCTTCGCCTTCTGTAGCGCAGTGTCACACACTCAAGCAATCGTCGCAATCCCCCACTTCCGCCGCTTTACTCCTTCTCCCTAGAAGCCTCTCTACCACGTCACCTTTTGACTATGCCACTTTTGCCACAACCCTCGACCACTATAACGCGAACTTCTCCTACGACTCATTCTTCACCACGACTCATCTTTCACCGCGACAAATCACGTTCGATGCCCGTCAAGCTCTCTTACCCAAAGAGACCTCCACCAGAACGCTGTATGTCTAGCTTCCTCAGACCAGTGGCAACTATCTACAGCACGCGTTTCACACATCCAGCAGTCTCATGGGTGAGTGGGCGGGTTCGCAGCACCGCATCGCCTTTATAGCCATCCCAGTGCCCAGGCAGCGGCTACGGCTTTATTGCTAACGCCGCACCCACATCAATAGCTAGTTATGCCTTGGTTGTGTAGTAGCACACCAGTGCTACTACAGTGTCTTATCAGCTCAGCTAGAGCTCCATCAATAGCAT